CCTCGATAATATCTCAAAACAAGTAGTTTCAACGAACGATGTTTCTCCGAATGTTCAAGGGGTTGTTGGTAAGACGGTAGATGTTCGCGGCGAATTTAATAACAAGTAAGAGTTTGAAAATCATGATAACATGCTCAAATGGATTCGTATGGTGGCATCTAGACTTGAATTTGGTGTGGTTATCGAAAGGTCGGATAATGGTTCGGATAGAAGAAACGCCTTTGTGACTATGTTGTGCGAAAGAAGCGGGAAATGTCGAACTCCTCTCCAGAATTTTAAGAGAGAAGACACGGGTAATAGAAAATGTGAGTGTCCGTTTAAGCTTTGTGGTTACATGTTGGTAGCAAAAAATGGAAATTGAATGTCATTTGTGGTGTGCATAACCATGAATTGTGCTTAAAATTAGTCGGCCATCCTAGTGTATGTCGGCTCAAGCCGGAAGATGAGGTATGTATTAGTGACATGACCTTGATATTGTCCAACCGAAAAATATACTTGCAACATTGAAACGGAAGCAAAACGACAATATATCAAATATCAAACAAGTGTATAACATTCGATACCTCACTAACAAGGCGATTATGGAATATAGAACTGAGATGCAACAACTGTTGAAACTGTTGGACGATAACAAATACGTGTCTCGGTATCGAACTTGCGACGATTGAGATACGATTAGAGATATTTTTGGACTCATCCGAATTCGATAAAGTTGTTCAACATGTTCCCAATAGTGCTCATACTTGATTCTACCTACAAGTCCAATAAGTATAGACTTCCATTATTTGAGATGGTTGGTGTTACCTCAACTGAGAAGACATATTCCGTTGGTTTTGCATTTTTAGAGTGTGAAAAAGAGAACAATTTTACTTGAGCATTAGAGGTGTGTCAGTCACTTTTAAAGGATCAAGGTGAGATGTCTAAAGCTATTTTTAAGGACCGCGATACCGCATTGATGAATACAGTTGCAAAGGTGTTTCATTGTTTTTAATATGTGACTCATGTATTTAAAGCTGATTTAAGGGTTAAGGGGTTTGAAGCTGATTTGAGAGTAAAGGAAATTAGGCCTTCGTGGCCAAAAATCTATTATTGAGGTTTTAACCGTATAAGGATTTGAACTGATGGTCTGATAGGTTTGAGGTCGATTTGGGTTTGAGGGAAAGTAGGCCTTCGTGGCCAAAATATGTTGTTGAGGTTTCAACCCTATATGGTAATTGGATAGTGAGAACTCTAATGACTGTGGGGTAGTTGTAAGAAAACTGTGGGAATTAGAGGCATAAATATGATACGAGATTGACCTAATAAGTCGTAGATTTTGTGTCTTTATCACCGTAATACCTTAGGAATGATTTAAGGATGTTTTTAGGACATTGGGGAAGGAAATCATAGAGATTTGTGGTCTGGTTTTGGTGTTGGTGTGTAACAACAATTTGTTGTAATCGTGAGTTTGCACAGCGAAGAATGCTTCGCACGACGAACACTCTCCCCAAATTCGCACAACGAACTTGCTAGCGAATGTAGTAGAGTTTCCAGAATTCTGATCTTGTGCAGTGATGTCTTGATGTTTTGATGCTGTGATTTCTTCGATGAATTACCATGAGTATAATTGTGATTTTTATGTGATAATTACATGATTGTATGATGAATTCCTATGAGTAATAATGATGAGTTATGATGTTGATTCCATGAGTTTTGATGATTATATGATGACATGATTATTATGATGATTTTGATGAATGATGATGCACCTAATGAGTTTATTATGAGGATGATATTGACGTGTGCATCATACTTTCATATGCATCCGGACTTCGGTTCAGGACCTTGATTTTTGTGACTTCAGTCCCATTGTGCGGATGTGAGGTATTTTGTTGTGCTCCGGTTCTCGAGTAGAATCAATCCTATTGTTGTGGATCTATGGAGGGTTGATGGCCCAGTGTCCATCGAATTTTGTTGATTGGTACCACATGCATGAGTCTTGTTGCATTTGCATTTATGTGACATTTTGGTGTAATTTATAATGTTGTGCCCTTTGATGTTCCTTGATGATTTTAATGATGTTGAATATGAAAATGACGCTATTCTATATCTTGATTTCTATATTGATTATTATGAATCGTTTTACTCACCCTGCCTGTTTGAATGTTGCCTCCACGTGGGTAACGTGCATATGACCAGGTTTAGCCGTGGATGTGGTCGAGTACTTTTGAAGTTTTTGGGTTGTTGGCTATTGTGGTTGACTTAGAGGGTCTTGCTCTGATAGTGTTACATCGAGTTGGGGTCTTTGATTCAAACCTTATTTTATTGAGTTTTTGTTATGTTGATTGCCTTGTGGCGCAAGGAAAAATTTGGATTTTTCCTTTTTGAGTTCCGCTGCATTTTGAGTAGTATTTGGAGTAATTTTGGAAAAACTCGTTGTTTACGGAGCATTGAATATTATTTGAATTTTTGAGAAATGTGTGCCCTTTTGAGATGATTTTATTGCGTTCAATATTTTACTCTGATAAATATGATTGATTTGCTGTTATATTTGTGGGGTAGAAAAGGGTGTTACAACTTACATCACCAGAATAGACGACTCATTCAACCGCAAATGCCGAGACGTGGCCGAATCATTTTATAGAAAGGATGCAAGAATTCAATAGATTGAACAACATTGAAAAGGAATTAAATGCACAAAAGTCCAAGGGGGTACCACCTATAGATTTAGCCGGTGACACATGTTTTGATTCGTTTTGATTTCTTGTGTAATCGGACATATAATTGTATATAATTGTGTCTCAATATAAATGAAGTGTTACATATTCACTTATTATTGCGATTTAGTTTTTATGCATATTTGGTTCATATTTGGTGCATATTTGGTCTTTGTGAACTCTTTGTCACATGACTCTGGTTTGAAAATATATCAGGAAAAGTTTCGGAGATACATCTCCAGAAGGTTCTTTTATTTGCTTTATTTTTGAATGGTTCAGAAAAAGTTCCGAAGATGCATCTCTGGAACAAGATAATAGGATGTCATTCCGGGGATATATATATATATATATATATATATATATATATATATATATATATATATATATATATATATATATATATATATATATATATATATATATATATATATATATATATATATATATATATATATATATATATATATATATATATATATATATATATATATATATATATATATATATATATATATATATATATATATATATATATATATATATATATATATATATATATATATATATATATATATATATATATATATATATATATGAAGTATGAATGACAGTCAATGAGTGGTACTTATTGAACTAGGTCTTCTCTAAATTTGGGTGTTCTTGTGTTATACTTCAAACAAACTCAAAATATCTCAAATGTGTGAAATAAACATCCGTTAGTATGTCGCAAGTGTCTCCTATCTCACCGATCTCACATTCCTCGACGATATCATAGACAAAATCCACTATCTCATACCTTACGGAGACACACGAAGGGTTGTCAAGCTTGAGTATCGGTCACCCTCGGTTTCGAAAAGAAAGTTTCGCTCGAGATGGAAGCGACGCTACGAAGATCGGTAGAAGATATCTTGGAGACGTGCAAGCGTCTACTAGGGCATTGAAATGTAGTATTTAATTTTTTGTTGAAATCATCATTGTAATGCTCATTTTATGTTTAAAAAGTTCATTTTGTGTTGATTCTGTCTTTGGGTTTGTTCCGAAAATATAACTACAGTATTGTTCAGGAGAAATATCTCTGAAAACAATCAAACCCAAATGCATGAGGCGTCATCCAAAATAGACTTCCTTGAGTGTAAAAAGAGTGCGTCCGAAAATATATATCTGAAAACTAAAGACATTGTAGAAAATTTGCACGGTGTCTAAGAAACTCATGGAGTGCCATAAAAAATTCTCTTATGTAGATACTCATTCAAATAAGGAGAGAGTTGAATGATTATGAATACTTTATTATCCACTCCGTCTCATTTCCACATAATATATATTTATATTTTTTGATTTATATTATTGTATAAAAATATATCTTTATCAATTAAAAAAATCAATATTAAACGATAATGAATTTAATAAAAATATTAGTTTAACAATAAATTTTTAATATTTTTTAATATTTTTAAAATTTTAAAATGATATAATATATTATAATTAATCTATTTATTTTTTAGAAATACACATAACAAGTACGAATCAATATTAAATGATTATGATATGATATATATATATATATATATATATATATATATATATATATATATATATATATATATATATATATATATATATATATATATATATATATATATTATTTGTTGAGAATACATATTATAATATCCTTCTTAAACCATGTCATTTTCATCTCTAGTCCAACAACAACAAGAATAAAAGTATTTTTGAGCATAACAGTCTAAATTCCAATATTAAAAATGAACCAGACAAGTCCTTTCGAACACATCAGTCCGAGTTCAAATAATAAGAGTGAGCCAGATAAGCCTATGATCTAAAGACAACAAACAATCCTATCGGTGCGGAGGAGGAAAACCGAAAAAAAAAATCAACAAAGAATAATCTTGTAAAATTCTTTAAAGTTTTTTATTTTTCATATGATAATAATTATATTTCTTAATACTCTAAAATAGTAAGAAACAACTCATAATAAAAAATAGAGAAAATGTTACTGGCATGATTACTATTTATTTGAGGCTTCTTTTACTTAAATAAAAGAAGTAAAAATAATAAAGGAAGTAAAAAAAGAAAAATATATTATGTACCATTTTATATAGCTGACATGCTCATGTGTATGGAAGATGAAAATGAAAAATCCCCATGTCACTCCTTTTTTCTCTTTATATATACCTCAACATTTTTGTTTTTGTTTCACATTCAAACTCCAGAAAAATCCTAATTTATATAGAGTCATTCAAACTCCAGAAAAACTTTATAATATAGATAAAACTTTTTGTTGCATTGATGGAGGGAGGAAGTAGTTTTAGGAGTGATAGCTCATCAATTTGGAGGAACAATGATGCTGATGAGATTTTTTCAAATTCTTTCCATCAAGAAGATGATGAAGAAGCTCTTAAATGGGCTGCAATTCAGAAACTTCCTACGTTCCAACGAATGAGGAAAGGTTTGCTCACTTCACTTCAAGGGGAAGCGGTTGAGATTGATGTTAAGAAACTTGGGTTGCAAGAAAGAAAAGGTTTGCTTGAAAGACTTGTTAAGATTGATGAAGATGACAATGAGAAGTTTTTGCTCAAACTCAAGGATCGAATAGATAGGTTCGAGTTCAAACTTTTTTTTTTAAATTCTTTTTGAATTTGGAAGATATGCTTTCGAATTAAAATGATTTATCATGCTTTTCTTCTTCACTAAATGATATTAGAGTTGGAATTGATCTTCCTACGATAGAAGTTCGATTCAATCACTTGAATATTGAAGCGGAAGCTCATGTAGGAAGCAGATCTTTGCCTACCCTCACTAACTTCATGGTTAATATAGTTGAGGTAAAGTTTCAACTTTTTCGAAATAGTAACTTGCTATGTGATTTTTTATTGAAGGAAATTCTAACTAAACAATTTGATTTTTGTAGGTACTATTGAACTCTTTTCATTTACTACCTCGTAGAAAGCAACATCTAAATATTCTCAAGGATGTCAGTGGAATCATAAAGCCTTCAAGGTATTAATATACAAATCCTGTTCTATTCATAGATTTCTCTTAGGATCTCTTGAACAAATATAACATGTTTCAATTTGGTTATTTTCAGATTGACATTGCTTTTAGGCCCTCCAAGTTCTGGAAAAACCACACTCTTGTTGGCCTTGGCTGGAAAACTTGATCCAAATTTGAAGGTTAGAACATATAAAAGAACACACACACATCTTATATCATCTAAATTGGTGATATTTTGTAACTTGATGATTAGTTTTCTGGAAAGGTGACTTATAATGGTCATGAGATGAATGAGTTTGCACCTCAAAGAACTTCTGCTTATGTGGATCAAAATGATCTTCACGTTGGAGAAATGACTGTTAGAGAAACCTTGGCCTTCTCCGCAAGAGTCCAAGGAGTTGGGTCGCATTATGGTTAGTCTTCAATTTTGCTTTTGCCTTATACTCATTATTGAAAACATGAGCCAAAGTATTAAGGGGTTGTTTGGATAAGCTATTTCTATAGAAAAGGTAAAATAAAGTCAAACTATTTTTTTAAGCTATCATAAAGAACTTACGAAAATAAATTGAAAGCGTGTTTATGGGTAATATTGTTGACATTATGCAGACTTGCTAGCAGAAATATCTAGAAAAGAAAAACATGCAAATATAAAGCCTGATCCAGATATTGATGTGTACATGAAGGTAATATAGAGATTTGTGTTATACTTAGAGGATCATAAAATGGTTTTCCTTTTGATTCATAATGATCACAGGCGGTAGCAATTGAAGGCCAGAAGACAAATTTGATAACAGATTATGTCCTAAGGGTAAACTAACTTATACTTTCAAAACCATCTGTAATTTGACAATAGGTTATGTTCTAAGGATAACAGATTATGTTCTAATGTTAAGAGGTATCTCTGGTTTCTTTGCTATACATTTGCAGATTTTGGGACTAGAGATTTGTGCTGATACTTTTGTAGGAAATGCAATGTTAAGAGGTATCTCTGGTGGACAAAGGAAACGTGTTACGACCGGTAAGGCAAATCTAAATTCAATCTTAACGCCCAGCATGATTAATCACCTTAATAAATTGATTATTATGAATGTATAAATGTAGGGGAAATGTTGGTTGGACCGAATAAAGTTCTATTCATGGATGAAATATCTACTGGTTTGGATAGCTCAACAACTTTTCAAATTGTGAACTCAATGAAGCATTACGTCCACATTATGAAAGGAACTGCGGTTATCTCACTCCTGCAGCCACCGCCAGAGACTTATAATCTTTTCGACGACATTATTCTACTCTCTGATAGTCACATTCTATACCATGGTCCCCTGGATCACGTACTTGAATTTTTCGAGTCACTCGGTTTTAAATGTCCTAATAGGAAAGGAGTGGCAGATTTTTTGCAGGAAGTGAGTTTCACATTATATACCATGCCTTAATAAAATGGTTTTATAATTTATACTATGTTATGTTATAGTAAATTTAATTTTTTCAGTGAAAAATATTATGTTATAGGTGACATCAAAGAAAGATCAAGAGCAGTACTGGGAACACAAAGATCAGCCTTATAGATTTGTTACATCGGTAGAGTTTTCTGAGGCGTTTAAATCATTTCATGTTGGCATAAGACTCGGTGTTGAACTTGGTACTGAATTTGACAAGTCTAAGAGCCACCCAGCTGCTTTGACAACCAAGAAATATGGTGTGGGAAAAATGGAACTGTTAAAAGCTTGCTTATCAAGAGAATATTTACTTATGAAGCGCAATTCATTCGTCTACATCTTCAAGCTTTGCCAAGTATGTTTGGAAATTTGAGTATGTAATGTGTTTTTCTTAGGTATAAGTCATCAGTTATAAGATGCCTTAGTAGATTGAGGAGTATGGATGTTTATAAACAACCTCTAGTCTCGATTCCCAACGGACATGGAACATTTTTGCTTTTTTACATTATTAAAGTCCTTTATTGATGATTTTCTTCTACTTTTAGACCTTCATAATGGCAGTGGTTACGATGACCATCTTTCTCCGGACTGAGATGCATAGAGATTCAGTAGCTCATGGAGGCATATATGTAGGTGCATTGTTCTTCGCTGTTGTTGTGACCACGTTCAATGGAATAGGTGAAATTTCCATGGTTGTTTCAAGACTTCCTGTTTTCTTCAAGCAAAGGGGGTACCTCTTTTTCCCTCCATGGACGTATGCTCTTCCAGGATGGATCCTACAAGTTCCCCTGACTTTTGTGGAAGTAGCAGTTTGGGTATTCCTCACCTATTATGTCATTGATTTTGATCCAAATGTTGAAAGGTAAGAGTGATATGTCATAAGTGATATGGCCGAACTCTGTGATCAAATATTACATTCTTTGTTTGTGTTTTTACTTTTGAACCGGGTTATTCTTCTAACAGCTAACTACCTAATGCAGATTTTTTAGGCAATACCTTGTTCTTGTACTAGTACACCAGATGGCTTCTGGGTTATTCAGATTTGTTGCGGCAGTTGGGAGGGATATGACAGTGGCTCTAACATTTGGATCATTTACACTTGCCATCCTTTTTTCTATGGGTGGTTTTGTCCTATCAAAAGGTATCGTATCATGGATATAAGACCAAATAAACAATCATGTTGTTTGTCTTATTTCTTTGCTTTATGCTCACAGATGATATAAAGAAAGGATGGATATGGGGATTTTGGATATCACCTCTGATGTATGCACAAAATGCAATTGTAAATAATGAGTTCCTTGGGGATAACTGGAAACATGTAAGCTCAATTCCTACTCATCAAATAATATAACCAATCTAATCATGTCTTGATACCTTTTCTTTATGAAAGGTTCTTCCTAACTCAACAGAGCCGTTGGGAGTTGAAGTTTTGAAATCTCGCGGATTCTTTACCGAGTCATACTGGTACTGGATAGGTGTTGGTGCTTTGACTGGATATACATTACTTTTCAACATAGGATATATCCTTGCTCTCACTTTCTTGAATCGTGAGTGTCTTCACTTTTCACCCTAAATGCATACAAAAAAATGTTAAGACAAGCTCATGTACTGATTCTACAAAATTAATCATGCAGCATTTGGGAAGCATCAAACTGTTATACCAGAGGAATCTCAAAGCAGAAAAAGAACTAATTTATTGAAGTACACAAAGGATACCACGACCACGACATCAAGTCTTAGTACAAAAAGAGGAATGGTTCTTCTGATTGAGCCACATTCAATCACCTTCGATGAAGTAACATATTCTGTAGACATGCCACAGGTAATGTAGAAGCCGAATAAATAGAGTTTAATTTTAATACATTGTCAGTGTAAAATTTTTTACCTAGTCAAAAAAATATTTACGCTGACAGTGGCAAAAGATCATATTGAACTTTCAGAGCATTATTGTGAAGAAAAGATTATCAAATACTTGAGTTGAACTTGCAGGAAATGCGAAACCGGGGTGTTGTTGAGGATAAGTTGGTTCTTTTGAATGGTGTAAGTGGAGCTTTCAGACCAGGTGTTCTCACTGCTCTGATGGGTGTGACTGGTGCTGGCAAAACAACTCTGATGGATGTGCTCGCTGGTAGAAAAACTGGTGGATATATAAGCGGGGACATCAGAATTTCAGGATATCCTAAGAAGCAAGAAACCTTTGCAAGAATTTCTGGATACTGTGAGCAAAATGATATCCACTCTCCTCATGTTACTGTCCATGAATCTTTGCTCTATTCAGCGTGGCTTCGTTTGTCCCCGGAGATCAATGCTGAAACCAGAAAGGTTAGCATCTGCATCACCGGAGGTTTGTTCAATAAATACTATAAATGTTGCTAAGTTTGAAGCTGACTAATGGTTGCAGAAGTTTATTGAGGAAGTTATGGAACTTGTGGAACTAAAACCGCTGCAAAATGCATTAGTAGGACTTCCTGGTGTAAGTGGTCTCTCAACGGAGCAGGGCAAAAGGTTGACTATTGCGGTTGAGTTGGTAGCTAATCCTTCTATAATATTCATGGATGAGCCAACATCTGGGTTAGATGCAAGGGCTGCAGCTATTGTTATGAGAACAGTTAGGAACACAGTTGACACCGGAAGAACAGTTGTTTGTACCATCCACCAGCCTAGCATTGATATATTTGAATCTTTTGATGAGGTGAATTATTGAATCTTCTGTCTCAAGAAATTAAGAATTTTATGTTTGTTCCTCTTCCATTACAATTTACCAAGTTTCTAATATTTGCCATGATGAAATGCAGCTTTTGCTACTGAAGCAAGGAGGGAAAGAGATATATGTGGGGCCACTTGGACATCATTCTTCCAATTTAATCAGTTACTTTGAGGTAAGTTATTGAGAAAGTTATGGAACACGTGGAACTAAATCCTTATCTTGTTAAAATTGCAAGTTCATCACGCTTACACTTTTCTGTTAAAGGAAATACAAGGGGTTAGCAAGATTAATGATGGTTATAATCCAGCAACATGGATGTTGGAAGTCACATCTTCATCAAAAGAAATGGAATTGGAGATTGATTTTGCAGAGGTGTACAAAAATTCAGAACTATACAGGTACTTTCACTTATATGAAACAGAAACTAACTATAGAAATAGTCATTGGATAAAATATCTTCAACTTTTTCAGGAGAAACAAAACACTTATCAAAGAATTGAGTACTGCAGCTCCTGGTTCGACTGATCTTTATTTTCATTCACAGTACTCGAGATCATTTTTTACACAATGCACGGGTTGCTTATGGAAACAACATTTGTCTTATTGGCGCAATCCGACATACACTGCTATAAGATTTCTCTTCTCAACCGTGGTAGCTGTTTTTCTTGGAACCGTGTTTTGGAACCTTGGCTCCAAAATGTAAGATCAAATTGGAAAAGTGGAAGTAGTTTACAGCTTTAAACTCATGTGTTTGTATGTCTTTTTTTGGATTTAACATTAAAATTATTGCAGCGAAACAGTTCAAGATCTTTTTAATGCCATGGGGTCCATGTATGCCACGGTTCTCCTAGTTGGCATCAAGAATGCTAATGCAGTGCAGCCAGTGGTTGCCATTGAAAGAACAGTATTTTATAGAGAAAGAGCTGCCGGAATGTACTCAGCTTTTCCATATGCTTTTGCTCAGGCAAGCATCCCATATTTTAAAACGCGTCTAACACCATTGTAAAAGATAGGTTCTGATATCATGTTAGATGCGTCTAAATCTTGTCTTGCATTGCAGGTTGTAATTGAGCTTCCATATGTTTTTGTACAAGCTGTGATTTATGGATTAATAGTTTATGCTATGATTGGTTTCGAGTGGTCTGTTGGTAAAGTTTTTTGGTACCTATTCTTCATGTATTTTACCTTCCTCTACTTAACTTTCTATGGTATGATGTGTGTGGCCATGACCCCAAACAGCGACATTTCAATCATAGTTTCCTCTGCATTCTATGCTGTATGGAATCTCTTCTCAGGGTTCATAATCCCAAGACCAGTAAGTTTTCAATTTCCTCAAATCCTTATCACATTTTAATTTCATGTTTTATGTCTCTCAAGTTCCAAGTTACTGTTGAGCATAGATGAATATAGCTTTTTTACTGCATTTTTATGGCTTGGACTAACAGAAAATTCCAGTGTGGTGGAGATGGTATAGTTGGGCAAATCCAGTGGCTTGGAGTTTGTATGGATTATTGGTATCACAATATGGAGATGTAAAACAAAACATTGAATCAAGTGACGGAGGAGTAACTACAGTGGAAGAGTTTTTGAGAGATTACTTTGGTTTCAAGCATGATTTTCTAGGAGTTGTTGCTGCTGCTAATATTGCATTACCAGTAGCTTTTGCTTTGATCTTTGCCATATCAATCAAGATGTTTAATTTCCAAAAGCGTTAAGGGCATTCACTTTTTGTATACGAATTCCATAATGAATAAAAGATCCCACAACCATTATTATATATAAATTCCAATCACTATCTTAATCAACCATTCTTCAATAGCTGCATGATTCTTCTATAAGAGGGCATTCAGGGAGAAATGCCACAACAGGTAGAGAACAAATAATGTAGTCATGTTCTTTATGAGCATTTGTGCTGAACAAATACATATAATGAAAATTTCATTATTAACTTTATTATCTATAGAAGTTGAAGATGATGAGTGTTCAACAAGTTACCATCGTGGTTGATGTTAGATGACATCAATGTAAACTTATTTGATGTAATTGGATTTGGTATTAATTTTACGGCAACGTAAAACCTTATTGTAGCTTTGTTGCTCATACAGTTACGACACTTACGAGAGCATATTATACTAACTCCCAAGTTTTAAATTTATTTCTATCATTAGAAAATTTCTATTTTTACTCAAAGAATTTGTGCATGTTTATGTAATTTTTTGAGCTTTTACAGTACTGTCTCAAAGTGTGAAGGTAAAGAATACCTGACCTGACTCAGTATCATGTGTTAATTAGGAAATAATCTTTGCAGTTATTGTGAATAATTTACATTTATAGAATAGGAAATTAGTCATTATGAATTGTAATTAGTCATTATCAGCTATAATTAGTTATTATGAGTTGTAATTACCGACACTATTATATATAGTATGAAAGGGAATGAGAAAGGCATCTAGCCAAATTTCGTGACATGGTATCAGTAGGTTCGATCAAACCTGGAAAATATTATTATATTGGCTGATCAGCGATACCCCACTGGTTCGCTCTCGTAATCGTGTTCGTTTCGAAATTCTTTCGTTTGAAATCGAAACCTTGCAGCTGTCTGAGATTCTAAATCTTTGGTTGCCGGTTCGTGATTTCGTCTTGGAGATTCTCGTTGTTGCGCTGATATTGCAATCAATTTTTTTTGGTTCTTGGCTGTTGTTGCTTCGTGATTCTGGATCGTCATAATCTTCTGTTTTGCCGCTCCTTCCAAATCGTGGATTTGATCGTGCTGTTGTTCGTTGGTTCGTGGGTATTGTTTCTTGTTGCTGCTCTAGTAACTGTGATTACAGTTACTGTTATTATATTATAGTTATTATTATTATTATTATTATTATTATAATTATTATTATAATAATAATAAAATAATATTAGTGAGATTGTATCTGGTGGTTTAATAATTTAGATGGCTTCCGAAAAAGAAAGAGATAATTTTTGTGTTCGTTTTACCGGCAAGAATTATTCGGCATGGGAATTTCAGTTCAAGATGTATGTTAAAGGAAAGGGATTATGGAGTCACTTAGATGATGTTTCTAAGGCACCAACGGAGAAAACTGCTTTAGATGCGTGGGAAATTAAAGATGCTCAAATTATCACTTGGATTCTAAACAGTATTGATCCTCAGATGATAAATAATTTGCGTTCTTTTTCAACTGCTCAAGAAATGTGGAATTATCTGAAGCGCATTTACAACCAGGACAATTCGGCAAAACGTTTTCAGTTGGAGTTAGACATCGCCAACTACAAACAAGGTGATTTGTCTATTCAAGAATACTATTCTGGTTTTTTAAATCTTTGGGCAGAACACTCTGCTATTATACATGCTAATGTTCCCAAGACCTCTCTTGCGGCTGTTCAAGAGGTCTACAACACAAGTAGGCGAGATCAATTTCTTATGAAGCTTCGTCTAGAATTTGAGGTTGTCAGAGGTGCTTTGTTAAATAGGAATCCTGTTCCTTCTTTGGATACATGTGTTGGTGAACTTCTCAGGGAGGAACAACGTATCCTTACTCAAGGAACCATGTCTCATGATACTGTCAGTTCTGAGCCTGTGGCAATTGCATATGCTGCTCAAAGTAGAAATAAAGGTCGTGATATGCAACATGTCCAATGTTTTTCTTGCAAACAGTTTGGACATATTGCTCGTAGCTGCAGTAAGAAGTTTTGTAATTATTGCAAACAACAAGGTCATATCATTTCTGACTGTCCCACGCGTCCTCCACGACCAGCACATCATTCGGTGAAGGCATTTCATGCCACTACAGGCCATACAATTGGCTCTTCCACCACTGGTGCATCAGATGGCAATGCTCTACAACCTGAAATGATTCAACACATGGTACTTTCTGCCCTTTCAGCCTTGGGTATTAAGGGTAAGTCTTCTCATGTGTCTCGTCCATGGTTTATTGATTCTGGTGCATCCAATCACATGACAGGTTCATCTGAAAACTTGCACAATTTACATTCTTATCATGGTAATCAGAAAATTCAGATTGCTAATGGTAATACCTTGTCTATCACTAACGTTGGGGACATAAACTCGGATTTTCAGAATGTGCTTGTCTCACCTGGACTTGCTTCTAATTTATTGTCTGTTGGTCAATTGGTGGACAATAATTGTAATGTTAATTTTTCTCGATCTGGTTGTCTTGTGCAGGAGCAGGTGTCGGGGAAAGTGATCGCGAAGGGGCCTAAAGTGGGAAGATTGTTTCCAATACAGTTTATTTCTAATCATTTGTCTCTTGCTTGTCATAATGTTTTGAATTCCTATGAGGATTGGCATAGAAAACTAGGTCATCCAAACTCTTATGTTTTGTCTCATTTATGTAAAAGTGGCTTGTTGGGAAATAAAAATGTTATTCCTGATGCCTCTGTTTCATGTTCTGTTTGCAAATTGGCTAAAAGTAAGACACTTCCTTTTCCGTCTGGTGCTAATCGTGCTTCCACTTGTTTTGAGATGATTCATAGTGATGTATGGGGAATGTCTCCTGTGGTTTCTCATGCTCACTATAAATATTTTGTCACATTTATTGATGATTATAGTCGTTTTACTTGGATATATTTTCTCCGTTCTAAATCTGAAGTGTTTTCTATGTTTAAGAAATATTTGACATATGTTGAAACTCAATTTCAAGCAAGTGTTAAAATTTTTCGATCTGACTCTGGTGGTGAGTACATGTCTCATGAGTTTCAGGAATACCTTCAACAAAAAGGCATCTTATCTCAACGGTCTTGTCCCAATACCCCTCAACAAAATGGCACGGCAGAACGTAAGAATCGTCATTTGCTTGATGTAACACGCACCTTACTTCTCCAAGCTTCTGTACCATCCCGATTTTGGGTGGAGGCTCTTTCCACGGCTGTCTTCTTGATCAATCGTATTCCTTCTACAGTTATTGATCTTGATTCTCCTTTCTTCCGTCTATTTAAAATTCATCCTGATTATAGTGCTTTACATACTTTTGGGTGTGTGTGTTTTGTTCACTTACCTCCTTTTGAAAGGCATAAGCTTGGAGCACAATCCGTTCAATGTGCATTTATGGGATATAGTAACTCTCATAAGGGATTTGTGTGTTATGATGTCTCTAACCATCGTTTTCGCATTTCTAGAAATGTGACATTTTTTGATAATCAGTTTATGTTTCCCTGTGGTTCTCCTGCCATTAATGATATTGTTACTCTTCCTAAGTTTTCTATTATGTCTCAAGCTATAGAACGTTATAAACCAGGTTATGTATATGTCAGAAAACACAGACAGCAGGTTCCCACACCCCTTCCCGATGCTGAACTGCCACCTGATCCTGTACCGGTTGAACCACGACGTTCTGGTCGAATATCCCGCGCACCAGATAGATATTCACCAGACAGGTATGATTCCTCACATACTTCTCTGACTGCCACACTCTCTAGCATATCTATTCCTACTTGTTACTCACAGGCTGTTAAAGATGTGCGATGGATAAAAGCAATGACTGAAGAGCTCCAAGCTCTTCAAGAGAATTTCACATGGGATATCGTCACTTGTCCTCCAAATGTAAAACCTATAGGTTGCAAATGGGTGTATTCTGTGAAACTGAATTCTGATGGGTCCCTCAACCGTTACAAGGCTCGTTTGGTTGCGTTAGGAAACAAGCAGGAATATGGAATTGATTATGATGAGACATTTGCACCGGTTGCCAAAATGACAACTGTCCGCACAATCATGTCTATAGCTGCTTCTAATGGGTGGACTCTTCATCAAATGGATGTGAAGAATGCTTTTCTTCATGGTGACCTGACAGAAGATATTTATATGACTCCACCTCAAGGCTTATTCTCTTCATCTAAAGGCGTGTGTAAGCTCAAACGCTCCTTATATGGTTTGAAACAGGCACCTCGAGCATGGTACGAGAAATTCCGCGCCACTATACTTGGATTCTCCTTTACTCAGAGTCAGTATGATTCATCTTTATTTATTCATAGCACATCTGCGGGTATTGTTCTGCTTCTTTTGTATGTTGATGATATGGTTATTACTGGTTCGGATCATGCTTCCATTCAGCGACTTAAGCAACAGCTACAGGCCTCATTTCATATGAAAGATCTGGGTAATCTACATTATTTTCTTGGTCTTGAGGTTCATTCTACATCCAAGGGCATCTTTCTCCATCAACACAAGTATGCTACAGATTTGATTTCTATGGCCGGTCTTGAATCGGCTAATCCAGTAGATACTCCTCTTGAGGTTAATGTTAAATATCATCGTGATGATGGGGATCTGTTGCCTGATCCCTTATTGTATCGACAACTTGTGGGTAGCCTCAACTACTTGACTATTACTCGCCCTGACATATCTTTTGCTGTTCAACAAGTAAGTCAATTCATGCATTCTCCTCGCCATCTTCACTTGGCTGCAGTTCGTCGTATAATTCGCTACTTAAAAGGAACCTCTCACCGCGGATTATTCTTTTCCGTTGGAACTTCTCTTCAGTTGAGCGCTTATAGTGATGCTGATTGGGCAGGGTGTCCTGATACTCGTCGATCTGTTACTGGTTGGTGTATGTTTCTTGGTTCTTCATTGATCTCTTGGAAAAGTAAGAAGCAAGCAAGAGTTTCTAAATCTTCTACTGAATCAGAGTATCGTGCCATGTCTGCTGCGTGTTCAGAAATACTTTGGCTTCGTGGTCTTTTGGCTGAA